CACCACCATCACCATCATCAGCATCATCAGCATCATAATATGCATCACCATCATCATCATCATCATCATCAGCATCATCATCATCATCAGCAGCAGCGCATCATCAGCATCATCATCATCATCATCATCAGCATCATCATCATCAGCATCATCATCAGCATCGTCATCATGATCATGATCACCATCATCACCATGCCAACATCATCATTATCATCATCATCGTCATCGTCATCGTCATCATAATCATGACCATCATCATCAGCATCATCAGCATCGTCAGCATCATCATCAACATCAGCATCATCATCGGCAGCATCAGAATCATCATCACCATCAGCATCAGCATCATCATCGTCAGCGTCAGCATCATCATCGTCACCACCGTCAGCAGCAACAGCATCAGCATCATCATCATCATCAGCATCATAAGCATCATTACCATCAGCATCATCATCACCAGCAGCAGCATCAGCGTCATCGTTCATCATCATAATTATCACCCTCACCCTCAGCATCAGCATCATCAGCATCATCATACTCATCGTACTCCTTCTCATCGTCAACATCAACAACATAATCATCATAATCATTAACAGCATCATCAGCATCGTCAACATCATCATCCAGCATCCTTCTCCTCCGCACCAGCATGATCATCACCGCTGTCATCATTCACATCACCACAACCACCACCACAACACCACCACAACCAACAACAACAGCAACACAATAACATCAACAACAACAGCAGCAGCAGCGGCAACAACAACAGCAACAACAGCAACAGCAACAGCAACAATAACAACGACGACGACGACGACGACGACAACAACAACTACTACAACTACAACGAAAGCAACAACAACAGCAACAGCAACAGCAACAACCACAACCACGACAACAACGACAAAAACAGCAACAACGACGACGGCGACGACGACAACAGCAGTAGCAGCAACAACAAGAACAACGACAACCACGACTACCACAGCAACAACAGTAGCACAATAACAACAACAACAACAACAACAACAACAACAACAACAACAACAACGGCAACAACAACAACAACAACAACAACAATCATTTAAGACTGGGGACACTCCGTTCTCACCAGTGCCAGGGTTTTCATAGGAGGCGGGCAATACCCCCACTTTGTGGGGGGGCCGGTTCAAGCTCTACCAAATTTCCAAACGACTCTTCGCCACCACCCACACCCAGCTTCCCGCCCTATGACGTTCGGACACTTCACTTCGTGGCATGCGGACGACCGTGGCTACTATTCAGGGCCCCGCGGCCGACGACGACGGCGTGCGCGCGCGAAGAAAAACGAATGTGTCCAATATGGTATTATTTGACAGGGATGATGGCCCTGGCATGCGCGCAACCGTTGTTGCAGAAGTTCGAAGCACGTGAAAAAGTTGCTCGCAAGAGCCCGTTTGACAGAAATGTTGAAAAAATACTGGGTTTCCTCAGAAATCCGCAAGAGCGCGCAAGATGAATTTTTGAAACTTTTTTTTGAAAAACCATTGGGTTTTTCATGTTTTTATGTTAAAATCGCTACGAAAACTAAGGTTTTGGAAGGATTTCATCTTGCGCGCGCGAGTGTGCACTTCGTGTCATTTTTTTCAAAGGATTCTTGAAGTTTGGTTATGTTAGAACAAGAAATGTCATTTTATAGTGTTTTTTGCAAGGGAAAACGGATTACAACAAAACAACCGGATCTGGATCACATCGTTTTACCTGAGGCTTCCTCACGAAAATGATGAAAATGTAGCTGCGGCCTAGGCGGCGCAGGGGGGCCGTGCACCAGGGGGCCCAACAATAATTATTCTTTAGAATTAATAATGTTCAACAACAATCATTTAAGACTGGGGACACTCCGTTCTCACCAGTGCCAGGGTTTTCATAGGAGGCGGGCAATACCCCCACTTTGTGGGTGGGCCGGTTCAAGCTCTACCAAGTTTCCAAACGACTCTTCGCCACCACCCACACCCAGCTTCCCGCCCTATGACGTTCGGACACTTCACTTCGTGGCATGCGGACGACCGTGGCTACTATTCAGGGCCCCGCGGCCGACGACGACGGCGTGCGCGCGCGAAGGAAAAACGAATGTGTCCCGCATGGGATTATTTGACAGGGATGATGGCCCTGGCAGGTGCGCAACCGTTGTTGCAGAAGTTCGAAAAAGTTGCTCGCAAAAGCCCGTTTGACAGAAATGATTAAAAAATGTTGGGTTTCCTACAAATCCGCAAGAGCGCGCGGGATGAAATTTTGACATTTTTTTTGAAAAAACCATTGGTTGTTTGATGTTTTTATGTTTAAATCGCTACGAAAACTAATGTTTTGGAAGGATTTCGTCTTGCGCGCGCGAATGTCCACTTTACCTTATTTTTTGCAAGGGATTCTTGAAGTTTGGTTATGTTAGAACAAGAAAATGTTCACTTTAGCTTATTTTTTGCCAGGGAAAACCGATCGTAACAACACAACCAGATCCGGA